AAGACACTCAGGGGTTAGAGCGTACGACGGTATAGTATAATTAGGTTATGGACATACAATGTGTACGGTGCCTAGGGGCTCGCAAGTATAAATGGTATAGAATATACAGGGGCATTAGTAGCATGCAATATGTACGGTGTTTCAGGGGTTAGAACATACATTCGTTGTCTGATTTAGGCGCGCTTATTCTCTAACTTTTATGTTTTCTAACGAATGATCTGGAGCGGAGCACCCTTGTTAATTATGCCTTTTATGATAAAAATATTATTTAAAAGTGGATTGCTACTCCCATTGTCATTTGTGAGAAGACATGTTTTAACTTATGAGTAATTATATGTGTGATTAAATATTCGTTAATACCGGTCTTTCATGTAGGTTAGAGATTGTCATGACTAATATGTTAAAGGATAAATTTTTGAAAAAAGATTGAAATTTTGAAATTGGTCTGGACGTTACAACATCTATAAAAACAATGTGTTTTTTGAAAACATGCCCGGACAAACAATTTGTTTCAAGATCCTCCATTACATATTTGCGAGTATGGGGGAGAGAGGTGAGCCCATTGGACTTCCATAAATTTGTTCATAAGCTACCTACATTAAACATGAAACTAGTAGAACTCAATACTATGTCAATTGCATGATAAACTGCTGAAAACTAAGTTTAATATGTTTCGAGATTTCACTCCATCTTCTTTTCTATGCCTTTAAGACTAATTCCTTCGGGATATTAGTATAGAGTGAAGTGACGTCCAACGACACCATTATTTCCGTTGACTCTATAGCTTTATTATTTATTAATTTAACAAACTCCCAACTATCTTTGACAAACGATGAGGTTTTTGGATTGAATTTAGTAAAATGGAGTGGTAGATAATTTGCCATCATATACGACGGACTCCAATAGATGAGATGATAATTCTTAGAGGGGTTCCCGCCTGTGGATTTTCGGCAATCTATATGCTCTCGGAGTGTTCCCGTTCGTGCATTTTAAATTATTATGAGTACGTTCGTCAATTAAATTATTCTTTTTTCATGATTTTATATGTCGATGTATCACTCAACAGTTCAGTCATTTGAAGCGTGTATTTGTCCTTATTCATGATGACAGTGACTTGTTCCTTGTCCGCTCGCGTTACAAAAATATCATTGTTATCAGCTAAAAACTTTTTACATTTTGAGAATTCGATTAAGATATATCTACTTATAAAATATTGGTGTTTCTTTTTTTGTTTTAGTCTGTTCAAAGAATTAGCAATGCAGTTACGCGTGTCATTCAGTAAACTGCCCTTCAGTCGGTGACTATTTAATTCGAAATTTTTTTTTACATTAAAAATCCGACAGATGTTTTGAAGAATAATTTTATTGTCATTCCATATTGTAATCGGTTTACTAATGACATCTGTAGATTTCTAAAGAAAAAGAATCTTAACGTAATTTTTACCATCCCCAAAAAACTAAATTGTTTAATAAAAACCGGGAAAGATAATTTAGATAGATTTAGATCGTATCACGTGTAAAGATTGTGACTCTAATTACGTAGGGCAGACAAAAAGACATCTTGGTACAAAGATTAACGAACATCGACGCAATATTAAGAATTTAGCGAGTAATTTTTCTGTTGTTAGCGAGCACAGAATTAATATGGGCTAATGAATTCGACTGGTCTAATCCTTCAATCATGCATAAAAAAAATAATAGAAGAAAAAGAGAAATTGCCGAAATGTACTTTATTAAGAAATTAAATTCTACAATTAATTTACAAAAAACACAGAAAGTTTTAGCACGATGTATGATTGTTTGTTTAAAAATTGATGTAACCTTTGACATGTATTGGCGTGATTATTATTGTTAGTATTGTGTGTTCTGTCAAGGCAAGATGACATAAGCGAAACGGATAAATTTTTTTCTTGTCTTAAGTTATACCTCTCCGAAGCATAAGTTTATTTTTACATCTTAAAGACGATATGCTGTAACTCATTGATGTTTTCACTGTTTTTTTGTAAAGGACCACAGCCCGTATGGCCATAACGTTAAAATAGATATATATTAACAACTCTAATTGTAGCCAGTGTCGTCAGTTCAATATCTATAACCTTGATTTTTTATTCCTGGCGAACGAAAGTAAATTTTATTCTTATTATTTTTTTTTATTTAAACTTTTTTAAGTGTACTATCATAGCAGAAAAAAATATAATAATAGATACAAAGATTCTTTGTATCTATTATTAAAAAAATATTTTAATTAGTGAATACATCAAAAAAGATAAAAATAATATTAATTAAAAATATTAAATTTAGTAAATATTGTTTAAGGGGATGCTGGAGTTACTTGAGAAGTCAGTTTTGTTTTTTTCCTTTTTTATCGACAAAATATGAGGTTAAATAAATTGTAAATCTATTTATTGGCTATACGGATTGTTTTTTACCTAAAATTAGAACGCTTTTGTTAATATTAATACTTTAAATTGTATAGGCAAAAGATTTATCAATCTGTATAGTCTCATATTTCTTGATTACAGAATAAGAATTCATATATCTGTAAGCTCATCGTTGCATATTGATATATCAACAGTGTTTAAAGTGTCAAAATTTTTTGACATTTTAAATGTTGACACTTGTCAAAATGATTTTGTATTAAATAACATATGCTAATAAAATATTTCTATGTAGATAAAACTTTCTCATTAAATATTTCTGTACACTAAATTTGACACGTATATTTAATTACATATAATGTTTGGGTGAAATAAATAATATATTGTGCAATTAATCATGTTCTTGATTTAAGGCTTTTTATTAATTCCTGAGTTTTATAAGCAGCTTTCGCTTATAAATTAAAATAATATCTATCTAAAACTGATGGATTTTTACATGGAGTCTTTATACATGGTTTATTAAAAGTGTGGAAACCTTTTAATATTACAAAATTTTTTTTAAGATAATTGTGTTTTTATACCAATTCATTTGTCTCGAATTATTTTGTGCATAAAAATATTAAAACAAAATTATCAAAAATTGAATATTTTACAAGATATTTTGCAAGAATTTGCCATTATATGTCATATATGTTTTTTTAGTTACATCCCGTATATTACACTGCAAGTATTTGCAAAAATACATGCATTTTTTAAAATTTGATTCACCAAAAAAAATTATTTATTTTTGCCTATTATTCTTGCTTATTAAACAATTAAATCCTTTGTTTATTCTGGAATGTAGTTAAAATAACCAATTCATAGAAAATAACAATGTCGTCACAATAGCCAAATAGTATAATATATATACATAATTTTGTACTGTCGCTGTATTAGCCAATCTATACTTAACTCTTTATTAGGGTTGCCATCTATAAAATCATTAACCTAGGACAATGAGTTCTAAAACCCCGGATTTTGCAGCTCGAAACCCGAAAAATTTTTTTCCAATGTTAATATTAATTTTCTCATTATGAATTTCTATAATTTAATATAACATCTAACGTTTTTATATCCAAAAATTGCTTTTACAAATGAAATAAAAGTATAAATAGTTATATATATATATATATATATATATATATATATATACATATATACTAATTATATACTATTAAACTTATATATACATATAAATGATTAAATTATTAAAATATTAAACTATAAAATTATGAAACTTTACACTATTTATAATTTTTGCTTTTTGTTACTTAATTTATATATTTTTTATTATATTATAATTATTTATCTCAATATATCTTTTTTAATATTCCGTGATTTTATATGTTCGAGTTTGAACTAAGCATGCAATAACTTTTTGGAAATTTATAATTGATTTGTTTACAAACAATATTTGTTAATTTATCGAATATATTAAATTCTTGATATAAAAAATTACCATGTAAAATGTGGAGTATAAAAGAGAAGATAAAGTGATAACATTTCCTTGCAGAAGAAAGAAGGGTATTTGTACTGTAAATTTCGAGCAGAATTTCTTCTAACATATTTGTACTTATATACGCACTTCTCTGCTAATTACAAATCTATTATTAAATTAGAAAGAATTATTATCAGAAATGAAAATACGAGCGTTAATAAAATATAAGTTTAGTAAACTGCGTCACTTGTCTGTAAGTAAAATGTTCCTTTGTTCTAGAATTTCTCATTTTTTATCCAAATGTGTCGAATAATAATAAAATTAAATTATACATTTTTTTATTTGTTATTACTTTATTAAGTGAGTTATTACTTAAGTATAATAGCAAATAAAAAAATTTAATATAAATACATATAATTCTATAATATAATTTATATATATAAATTATATTTTGCAAATATAGTAATGATTATAAAGCAATAACAAATAAAAAAATATAAATATACATACATATATTTCAGAATATATGTAATATTTACATATATTTCTAAATATATATTTACATACATATTTTTTCATGTGGAAATGTTAAAACCGATTGCGTTGTGAAATTAATAGAATTATGTTATAAAAAAATTTATTAGGAAATATATTTTTGCAACCTGAGGATTGGAGAACACAAAAATAAAAAAGCATATCATGTTTCGAATAAATGTGAAATTGGCCGTTCAAACCCTTAAGAAAAAAGTCAGTGTAGTTTTAAATTTTGCAAGCACTATATACGTTTCTGAGCAATTTTTAGGTAAAAAGCAATCCATATAGCCAATAAATAGATTTATATTATAGTTTATCTAACATCACATTTTGACGATAAAACAGGAAAAAACAACAGACTTCTCAAAGGCGTTCAGAATCTCTTTAAGCCACAATTATATTTTCATAGTAAAACGCCTGTAACATATGCTACACCGCCAGACAAGACTGCGCGCGAAAGCACTCGCGGAAAACCGTCCGTAAAGTCGTGCACTTGTTCGTGCTTTCGCCGCTACGCGGCGTCTTTTCTCGCAGTTAGAATTCCGCTGAGTGAGGATATAAGGCCACGCGCTGCATTGCCGAAACATATTTGTGAATATATATGTATATATATATATATACGACCAATGAGTGCCATTAAATTATTATTGGACACTCTGTTTTAATAGCGCAGAATTTTATTGTAAGATTACTTGGAGACATTTTTGGTCAGCAAATATGTCGGAAAACAACTATGACTTTTCGAAAGTAAAGATTTTAGTTAACTCTTTTGAAATTTAAACTCTCATTTTTTGAAATAAAGGACGGTATTCCATAGTCCGTTCTTATATTTAAGACTGTCTTAAGCACAAAGTCTTTTAAGATGCCTTTCTCTTCTTAAACATGTCTACAAAACTAGTCAGATTTATAATCAAATCTTGATGGCCTTATTTGAATCAAATAAGATTGTGTTTATTAGAAAGGGTATGTTCCAAAATTCAGTGCCGTGAGCGTGACGTCATAAAAGTATGCTATCAACAGCGTTTCATTTTTGTGAGCGTGCTGTAAATGCGTATACGATGTCTAAAATGGAACATTACTTTCAGTGCTGGCAGTGAACACAAAAGTAAACAACAGATTAACCTATAAAATGGAGAGAAATGATCAGAAAATATTTTTGATTGCAACATATATAAATTTAATAGCTGAATCTGATGAATCATCAAACGATGATTCAGATTCGGCAGAAGTATTAAATTTATTAGTGAAAAATAATGTAAAACGTGTACCTAAAGTACGGTGCCAAAATTATGTTAAAAATGTAGTGTGGCATTATACTGGCAATGCTTTTAAAAGCCATTTTCGGTAAATTATTTATTTAATAAAATAAATTATTATTAATTGCTTGTTATTATTAATTTATGCAATAAACAATAGATAAAATAATGAGAATACTTTTTAAGTCAGCTCTTTTAATTTTAAAACCACAATCTCCACTTGATTCCTCTCGACCAATAAAGCTAAACGCGATGTTATTGCGACAATTATGAAAGAAAGAAAATTTGGAAACTAAGGAATTTGAATCCTATGGTTGGGATCTCTCAAAATTCCCTTTGTTCCGACTTTCGGACCAATATTTTTCTCGCCTATTTCTTTGCAGGGGATGTTAAGAGAAGGAACAAGGGGAATTTTTGAGATCCCAACCATAGGATTCAAATTCCTTAGTTTCCAAATTTTCTTTCTTTCATAATTGTCAATAACATCGCGTTTGGCTCTATTGGTCGAGAGGAATCAAGTGGAGATAATAGATAAAATATTTTTACTATGTTTTTTATTAATTAATAATAACAAGTAATAATTCATAATAAACTATATAACGTTTAATTTAAATAGAAAATGTTATATTTTAATGTTTTTCCATAGCCTTAGTCGACCAACATTTACTTTTTTATTGGAGCTGTTAACTCCGCAATTATTGAAACAGTCTGAAGGATGTGGGAGGCATACTATTCCACCAGAGAAGACATTACTCTTGGCAATATGGATGATGGCAACTCCCAATTCGTATAGGTAAGTTTTATTGAATGACATTAGCATTTAATTTATAACATTTATAATTTATATTAATATTTAGCATTTATTTATTAACTCTATAGATGTGTTGCTGATCGATTCAATGTCGGAAAAGCAACGGCTTGGAGATGTGTTCACAAAGTTGTGAATGCATTATATTCACATCTTCATACATTCATTCAGACTCGCTTATTCCTTATTAATAAATATTTTGTTTACTTGTTTCTTTTTGAATAAACAAAGCATTGTTAATAAGGAATAAGCGAGTCTGAATCTCCCCCTTCCTCCCGAATCCTGGAACCGGCGAGCCGATCCGCGGCGTCGGGAAAGGTGACCCAGTACATGGCGCCCGAACAGGGCTCGATGACTCCTTCGGCTTCCATCTTTTGGACCTCTTGGTCGATCACGGCTTGCATGGCCGGATTACGGGGCCGATATCGTTGTTTAATGGGCGGCCCCGGTTTTAGCCGAATTTGGTGCGTGGCTTTGTCGGTCGGGCCGCGGACCGATTCGAACTTTGGAAGTTCGTTATTTAGAAAGGCCTGTAGCCTTAGCGCCTCGCTGGTAGTTCCTGGGCTGATACTGGCTGTCGCGATTCCATCTTTGGTTGTTGTCTCGGTGACAGGTCTGGGCGGCGGGCGCAGCTCGACTCCTAATTTCGCCCAGAGGTCTATGCCTATTAGTACGGCGTTGTCTAGTTGTGGTAGTACGGAGAAGCGGTGGCGGTACGATTTTCCTCGTAACCTGACCGTTGCTTCGATGGTCTCGACAATGGGGACTTGCGTCCCGTCGGCCAGGCGTATCTGGGCTGCCTTGAGATCTGGGCTAGACGGTGTGCGGTTGATTCGGAATCAAGTCGGAAAAGCAACGGCTTGGAGATGTGTTCACAAAGTTGTGAATGCATTATATTCACATCTTCATACATTCATTACATGGCCAGACAGAGCAAGAGCAGAAAATATTTGGACACATGTTAAAAACAAATACAAATTTCCAAAAGTGATAGGAGCGATAGACGGTACTCATATAAAATTGCAGCACCGAAATTACATCCAGAAGCTTACATAAATAGAAAAGGCTATCACTCTATACAGACACAGGTATTTTTATAAAAATGTTAAATTATATTTTTTTATGAATAAAAATTCTACAGACATATAAAAATAATAATATTATTTCCTCTTTTTTTTAGATAATATGTGATAATGAATTAAAAATCACTCATGTTTATGCAGGACAAGTAGGGTCAGTGCATGACATGAGAGTTTTTAGATTATCTGGCTTTGAAGACATGTGTACCGCAGAAAACTTCCCAGAGAATAGCCATTTATTAGGTGATGCCGCATATGGCATCCAAAAATATATAATGGTTCCGTTTAAAGATAATGGACATTTAACAGATGCACAAGTAAAATATAATACTTGTTTGTGTCTGAAGCGAGAATGATGGTAGAAAGAACAATAGGCTTGTTAAAAGGAAGATTTCGAAGTCTTTTGGATATATTACCTATGAGAAGAACTGATTTGATACCTAAATATATTTGTGCTTGTTGTGTTTTACATAATATTTGCTTAATACGAAATGATTACATTGATGATATTCCAATTATTGTACAGTCAAATGAACCTGTACAATATGAAATCGAAAATATACCTCAAATTATACGAGAAGAAGGTATTGAGAAACGTAACGCTATTGTATATTATTTGCAAAATGAAAATTATTTTGAATAAAGTTGTATGAAGTTATAAAACATTTTTTTTCTTATATTATCTTTATATTTTTAGATCCCTATACCATATAATATACAATTAAAAAATAGATAAGATTATGTATATATTTACACACACATGCATACAATCATAAGAAAGCTGAGTAAAAAGCTTTTGCACAATAAAAAATAACAGGAACAAGGAATAACATAGGAAAGCAAGAAAGTACTTTCCTACGTTCTTTCCGTGATCCTATTTCTATTACTTTTAAATAATACTAGAGCTTTTACAATACATATACTATAGATAAATGCACGCATAAATACTTTACGGGATCTATCCACATACACAATTAATTTACATACACAATTTAATTTGTATGTACAATAAACTTTATTAAAGAAACTATCACAATTTTTCTTACATTATTTAAAATAAAATTAAACTCAACATAATTTTATATTAAAGTGACATAACAGTCTTATATGCACATAACAGTCTTATATATTTTAAGAATACATAACAGTCTTATATATTTTTATAAGAACCAATAAAATATTAATTATATAAAAGTTATTACTTTTTAAGTATTTCTGTTATTAAATTTTCAATACTTGTTAGACGAGTCATTTTTTCTTCATGTCTTTTTTTAGCATTTATCTCTTTTTCTGCTTTCATTTCTAAAGATTTTTCTAAATAATCTTCTACTGCGTTTTGAATTTTTCGTTTCTTTGGCACTGCAAATAAAAAAATAATTAAGAAATTAATAAATAGAAAAAATTAAAAAATGCATGTACTACAAAATATTTTAATAGAAAATATAAAACAAAAATGTATATATAAGTGCAAATATTTTATTTATTTTTCTTTATATATTTTAGATGTAATGTAATTATGTGTTTACCTGATTTTATTGCGTCATTGTTCTCTGTATTATTTGTAGTATCATTAATATTAGCAGAAGTATTAACGCTACTTCCAGCTGTTGCTATTGGTTCAACCCAAGGTTTTGTTCCAAATATCTCATGCATAACCTATATCAGAAAAATTATCTTTAATTAATCTAATTATCTGTACAATTATAAAAATTTCAAAAAAGATGAAAAGAAAAATATTGCTTTTTAATAAGAAAAGATACATTTGGACACAATGTGATTAAACACAATCACTATATATAAAAGAATGTCTAGAATAATCAGTATGATTTATGAATTAAAGTTAAAAATTATATATAAATTGATATAAATTATAAATAGTACTTCTAATTAGTAATACCTCATAATATTCCCATTTCCTCCTATTATTTCCTGATTTTTTATTATGATCAGTAACAGATTTATATGTTCTTTTTAAACACTGGAATTTAGTAGTACATTTAATTCCAGATATATGATATCCTGCATCTTTCATTTTCTTGGAAATATTATTCCAACACTGTTTCGCAGACATCTTAGGATTATTGAACATTTCTTCGTGTTCTTTATATAAAGTAATAAGTAACAGTGTTTTAGCACGAGTCCATATATGTTGATCTAAACAGAATAATGTTGTTTTCTTGAAAAAATATTTGTTTTAACTTTTACTTATATTTACTTTTACTACTACCTTTCGTATCTGAAGTTTCACTCATATCTAAATTACTTGCAGTGCTGCAATTAGTTGTGTCATCTGTAAACATGTATATCTTTTATACATCAGACAATCTTATGAATGCGATATCACAAATGGAACATTATCATTGTTATTAAATTAAGTATTAAAATAAATCTGTTTCTGAATCTATAATATCTTTTATTTCTCCAGCTGCATATTTTTTCGCTTGTTGCAATAGAGAGTATGCAAATATATGATCTGTAAAAAATTACAAATAAAATTATAATTGCATATACATTATAATTAATAATAATAAGTTTAAACACTTATATTCTGAATCAAATTTTGATCAAATATTATAGGTTATGTAATTTTTCTATTCTGAATTTCTGAAATAAAAGCAATTCTACAAAAACTTAAAATTCACTTCTTTTTGTTCTCGCAGCATCTTCCTTACACACTGTAATTTTGTATTCTTTGTTGTTTTTTGCATCGATTAATGTCAGTTCTTCCATGATCTTTGCCAGTTAGAAAGATATCTTTATTACGTGACGTAATTTACGTCATCTGCTTCACCTCTCTGACCGCAGTAACTGCAGCAGGAAGTGACGACAGAATTAATGATGTCATTGCTCTCTAATAGTACTGCCGCAGTATGCTGCCATGAATTTTGGAACGCAATTTGTAGCATTGGCAGTGCTGGCAGTGAATTTTGGAACATACCCAAAGTAAGTTTGTTTTCAAGTCAGTCGTACATGACTTTAAGATAGGCTTATTATTAAATATTATGGAATTAATGGAAGAAATTGATGATATTGAAAATATTGATTGATCGTGATTTTCAAGTAGAGAACGTGTACGAAAACGATACATTTGTGATGGACTTTAAAACCCTTTTATAATAATTTACAATTAAAAGACGCTATAGATTAATAAGGATTTCTTCTATATGGAATATTAACAAAAATTGAAGAAGGATTAGCAAAAATTAACAATCGGTCTGTCGGTTCCACCAGTACAATACAAATTGTTAATATGCTTAAGATACTACGCAACACACGCACGCACGCACACAGAGAGAGGTGTGTCTAAAAATAAATATAAATATATTAATAAAATTTATCTTTATTATTATTTTTTAATATTGCATTTACTGGATTATTTTCTTTTTCAGCATCATCAGTCTCATCACTGCTTGAGTCTGTAACATTCAATTTTGTCATTGTCATCAATTCTAAATTCTTATTCATAAACAAAAATATGTTAATACAAAATATCAATAAAATTAGTTATTTTATCATTTGTATGAAGTGTGATAATAGAATCATTATTAACTTCTTGGAAATCATCATCAATAAAGTCTATGCCCTCCACATTTTCAATTAATTCCTCAGGAATACAATCATTAATATTCTTTGTTGTCGTTCTGAAAAATATTTATTGTTACTATTTTTTCAATTTTTATTATAATATAAATCAATAAAATAACGATGAAATTACCTTCTAGTATTTTATCTGATAAATTTGATGAAAATAATGTTGGTGCAATTGTCATTAAATTGGGTGCTATTGCGGCAATGTCCGGATCAATCTGCAGATTTAGGTTCAGGTCCACCACCTGTTGATAAACGTGCATGTTTTTCCGTAAGGACATCTCTCTGTACTGATTTTAAATTACTCCATAATTTTCTAAATTGAACGCTTCTCTGTAATAATTTATTACACATTAAAATGTTAAAAATTAAATTACTTTGAATATAAAAAGTATTTAAAATCTAGCTTAAAAATGAAGCTATCTACCGCAAATATCATATTAGATTTTCTTCAGATATAATTAACATTTTTATTTTAAGCATTTAACATACCTAATTAGAAAAAATTTATAGATTTCTTATCTTACTTGTAACAATAGATATATGCATCGCAAGTTTGATTTCATGCTTCTTCTTTGTCTTTCAAAGTTGTAGCATCACTTTTTTTAAGGAGAATATTTTGTTAAAATTTTAAAGAAGAATTCTCTTCGGGATCTATATAATGTTTTTTGCTTGACATTTTTTTTTACAAAAAAGTTACTTTCTAACAATACTTTAGAGTCTGCAATAATTTGATACATGAATAAATGGTATAGACATACAACTCGTTAAATTCTATATTTAAACACATATTTCATTGGCTGATACATCAGAAAAATCCCGAAGATTACTGAAAGTAAATCAGATCATCTTAAGCACTAACTTCAGTAAAAAAATCTTAAATAAAAAGAAGTGCTTATTTCTTTATGAAGATCGTCTCATTTTAATTAAAACTATGAATGCATGAAGTCTCAAGTCATACTTATACAAACAAGACGATCTTAATCAAGAGAAAATCTTAAGACGATGTTTAAGCTTGGACTTATGAATACCGTCCAAAGTCAACTCTCTAAAATTTGTCTTTTTTGGATATTTTTTTTATTCCTTTGATTATTTTAAAATGTGTATTGTATAAGAAAATTATACTGATTTATTTGATTGTGGTAACTTTTAGGTATACTGCACTCGATATATTACATTTGTCAAAAGTATCAAGTTATTTTACGTTTATTGATAGAATTTTTGTGAAGATAGATCTAATATATAATGACTTTAGCATGTCTCTCTCCAGATATAAGAAAATATCTCAAGTAAGAAGAAACTACTTCTAAAATATCATTCAGGGTAATAAAAGTTTTTATTGAACAATATAATTAAAAAGAAATATTGTGTTATGAGCAATAAGAATAGTAATGTTATAATATTAATTTGTTGTATAAAATATTATAATCCTTTTAAGGTTGATTACGATAGTGACAGCAAAAAGAGAGTTAGAAAGAAAAAAAAGTTATTGTGCAACCGGCGCGCGGAAAGTCGCTTTTTGATGGGATTTTAGAAAGGGCTCTTTCCACGCACCAGTCACACAAAATATCGTAGCCAACATGTGCGGATCGTAAATCGACCGAGAGTGCGGAAGTTTGGCGCACGAGGCGAAGCCGAGTGTGACAATCCGCATGATCAGCTGCTGATCTCTCGGCTGAACTCGGCTTCGCCTCGTGCGCCAAACTTCCGCACTCTCGGCCAATTTACGATCCTCCGCACTTGTTAGCTAATATACTATTAATATATAAAATATATATTTAAAATTTTTCCTCTTTTTAATGATACATATTCTTGATATGGGCAATATAAAAATCACTTTCTGTTACGTAAATTCTAATTGACTAATGGGTTTATTTATGCTCGCATATTCTATCAAAGATTTATTTCGCCGTAACTCAATAACACTCCTTAGGGGTTCTCATTTTACTTTATTTAACTTCTTTTTCATTCATCCAACTCACTCATATGCATTTATTATAACAATAATGTTTAGACATGCATAAATCGTCGACATTGTATTTATCCGCTTTTTACAATATGCTACATTAAATAATAATATATTTAGACTATCTATATTTAGACATTCGCCTCTGCTTTTGAAATATTAATTCAAAATTCCAAATAAAATTTACCTAAATAGAATATAATATATATTTATATCATTAAATTTCGGGCGTTAACCTATCGTTAATTATAACATACAATATTCTAATTAAATATAAAATAATTTACATTTATAATATCCTATTTGTGGATATTCACCTTTCATTAATTGGTTAACTATTAGAGTTTATCTATTATACATTATAGGATTTTACAATTGGCCTAATACCCAAAATTGGTTACCAGGTTACTTATATATCAAATAAGTTACAAAATATTATCAAATCCAAACAAAAAATAATAATGAAAGGTTGTGCTATTTGAAGATAAAAACAATATTTTAATAAAAAGTTAGATATGTATTCGATACTTTTGTTTCGATACCGAGTACTTTTAGAATCGAATAATTCTTTCGATACATACTCGGTATCGATAAAAAAGTACTTGTATCAAATCGATTTGGCGCGCATATCCGAGTAGTGAGTGAGTCACTAAGCCTGTATTTTTTAGCTGAACTAGTGCAGTCAGTTCAGCTAAAAAGAACAGACCTACTATTTACTTCAGTGCTGCCGTTAGCTACATCTATCTGTTCGTCGGTCATATTGTTTGCTGTGGTTTGCAATCGTGCAGTGCGTGCTTCTTGTCAAAAGTTTATTAGTTTTTCTTGTTATCATGGCGCCGCCGAAATCTAAAGTATGGACATATTTTACAAAAGTGAATGACACCACGGCAAAGTGCAAGCAATGTTTTAAAAGTGTGAAGTTTTGTGGCAACACGTCCAATTTATTTAAACACGCCAATACTCACGGAATTGTTGTAGAAAAAAAACAACAAAAAATCAGCAATGTTTCTGAGCCTGATAAAACAAGTGAAAGGTATGTACCCAGCAAACACCGATATATAATTGTTACATTGCTATAATAAAACGGAATATAACAGGTAATATAACGTGTACGTTACATGTAACATCCATGTTAGTTGTAATTTCCCACTCATAGATGTAACATTTTAATATAACATATATTACATTGTAGTTATATTGTAATTATATATCAAATAGCACATTGATGTATTGATAAGTCAGTGCTATCTTGCAACTAACATATACGTTACATGTAACATGCTTAAGTATATAACATTTATATATTGTGTTTGCTGGGTATGTATCTAAAAATAATTCTCTTTAATATTCTCTGATACAAAATTGTTATATCTGTACAGACTTCAAATTCTTCAAATTCTTTGCTTGTGAATTGATGTTGACCGGAAATTGTTACTGAAATATTACAATACACTAAATTAAATTTTATTTTATAAACTTGTTTATAAAAATAAATATAAAAATATATTTTACCTAGTATTCCCATTAATATATACTTTAAGCTACTAATTTTAAAATGATTTTGTAATCCTTTCCAATATGATTCTTTGGCAACTTCATTGGAAAATAAAGGTATATGCGAATTAAATTTTCCTTGGCGGACCTTCCGCCTATGCGAGATATATACAGCATCTTTAGAAATAAAACATACCAAAAATACAATTTCTATTGTTCTATTTAGATGAAATTTGTTGTACTCATCTATAATACATTTTCTGATAAACGGTTTTCAAAAGCTGTTACTTCATTTATATTTTTAAATGGAAAAAATTGATGTATATTTGATGTATCCGTGACAGATGCTTTGGATTTATGTTGATTATTTTGTTTTTCTATATTTGTTAAATGAACATTTAGTATTCATTCTTGTATTCCTAATGTAACTGTAGTTATAGCTGTATATATATTCTTAAAATGACCTGAAAAATTAATAGTATTGAATAAACAGTGCCAAAAATAGATATAAAGTATATTATAAGACAATAAGATTATAAGACAAAAATAAATACAATACCTTCCATTTTTTCGAATCCATCTGATATTAACGTATGTACATCCTGTATACCTAAAAATTAACATTAAAGAAATATTAGATTATTCACATAATAAACAATAATAATAACTGTAATAACTGTAATAAAAAAACTTATATTATGAAAATAATATAAGTAAATTGAATTAAAGAATTTTAAAATAAAAATTACTTTTAAGTGATACTAAAATTCCATCAAGAATCTCCAGGTCAATATCATTGCTGACAACTGATGAATTAATAACAGTTGCGATAGATTGACTTTTGTTAATTGATTGCGAGGCATTTGTATTTACAGTAAGATTTGGTGGATTTGGTATAACTAAACGTGAGTCATCAGAATCAGATTCTGACTCATCGTGAGAAACAGTTTTATTCAACTGTCTTGTGCGAACTTCTTTATTTCATTTATATTGCTTTCCTTATTTGAAGAATAGTTTGTTGTTCTCTGTCTAGCTTCTTCTAATAAATCTAAATTGAGACAAAATCGTATTTAGAAATTACATTATTTTTTAAAAATATTAAAAAAACAATTTCATAAATTCTACAATAAAATATAACTTACCATAATATCCATGAAATTTAATGGGATAAGATTCCCATTTAGGATCATCAATAACAGGTGGAATTTGTTTTATAATAAAGGTATTTACATTTTTTTACCAACAGCCACCAGCATTCTTTTAAATTGGAAGAAAGCCATAAAGATGGAACTTCTGATACAATTTCTTCTTCATTATTTCCATCGCTTGGAAAAGTAACGACAGCGAAATTTTTCGCCATTATTAATAATCTGTTAAAAAATTAAGTAATTGTTAAGTAATTGTTAAGTAATTGTTAAGTAATTTAATATTTAATATTGTTTTTAATTATAGATTATATCAATATATAAGTACTCGCCATTAACATATTTCTTGTTGATGATAGATTAGATTAGATACGTTTATTGTTGCCCCAATTGGAGGTTACAAGGCGCTTTTTTCCTGTTTAAAGGAGCGATTCCAAACCTTTATGCGTTCATTTACATACAATCCTTAACCTATAACTTAAACCTAATTAATATAGACAATTATATATATAAATGATACGCTACGCCGCTCCGCTTCGCCGCCTACTACGCCTTTTCTCGCATTTCTACCCTATCTACTTCCTACCAACTCTTCCACACACACGACCTCTTTACCCTAGCCTTTCTTATCCTACGCCTTCTTATTTACTACTTTCGCATTCTTATGTATTACTTAACCTATGTGGGACCTCCGCTTCCGGTTACTGCTATCCTTTCTCACTTCTTTCACTCATTCCCTCTCTCTCCCTCTCTCTCTCTCTCTCTCCCTTCTCTCACACCCACTCTCCCCCTCTCTCTCTTCCCTCAACTCTTGTCCTCCCTCTTCCCCCTTCCCTCCTTTTCCATCCTTCCCTTCCCCTTTCCCTCTTGCTTTCTCTAACCTTTTTAACCACATTTCCCCTTCTCCCTCCTCTCCTAGCACCTCTTTCACCATTTCCTGCCAGCTCTCTTCCCTTCCCCATTCCATGCATTCCTCCCACACATGCTTCCACGGAGGAGTTTGCTGCGGAGGAGACCGCGTTGGAGAGGACTGCGGCGAGACGGGATGCGGCGGTGCGAGGGCACGAGGGCGCCTCGTCCGCTCTCCTCGGAAATTTAGAACGCGCCGAGTTAAATCTTTTGCGGAGAGAGAAGGATCTGTGGGAGAGAGAGAGAGATCATTTTTTCAAAGGGAGAGAGAGCTGTTTCGCGGCTCTTCGGTGGCATCAGCGGGATCGTCCGGTGGTGAAAGTTTTAGGGGTGTCAATGAGTTGTTGCCGGAATTCGACGGAAGTGAGAATACGTTTTGGAGGTGGAGGAGTCAGCTCGGACTTCTCAGGGACACCTATCGTCTTGACGAAGGCGCTACCAGGATCCTGATCGGCTCTCGTTTGAAGGGACGGGCATTGACCTGGTTCTACTCCAAAACCGAACACCTTGCATTGGGAATGGAGGAGCTGCTGGAAGAAATGGCGCGAATGTTCGACTTGCGTCCGGCGAGGATCACGCTCCGGAGAAAATTTGAGGCTCGCATGTGGAGGGGCGACGAGCCATTTAGCAATTATTATCACGAAAAGGTGATTCTTGCTAATCGTGTCCCGGTGGCTGAGGACGAGCTTCTTGATCATGTGATTGAGGGCATTACGAACGTGCAATTGCGGAACCAGGCGCGTCTGATGAGGTTCCGGTCGGGAGCGGAACTGCTGGAGGCCTTCGAGAGCATCGTGTTCGAGCGCAGAGACAGGATGATGGGGCCGCCCGGAGGAGCGAGACCCGCTGTCGGCGAGGGACTAGGAGCGGCGTTGGGCCCGGGACGGGCGGAGAGCCGGGGAGGCAGGGTGAGGCCAGATGCGGATGGTGGAGCCGGGCAACCGGGATTAGAGCGGACGCGGTGTTTCCGCTGCGGTGAGGTAGGCCATATCGCGGCACGTTGCGGGCGGCCGCCGACGGGTCGCGCGTGTTATGTTTGCGGGGCGTCGGGACACTTGGCGGCGGGGTGCCCTGGGTGCGGACGGCCGGCGGTGGCGGGTCCGACGGCGGGATCGACGGAGATCGTGTTGGCGGACGCGGTTCGGCCCGCCGCGCTTCCTGGACCGTACATTGTAAGTGTGGATATTTTAGCGGCGGATGAGGGCGCAGATTTTAATTATACCGACGGCGCGGTGGTTGATTCGGGATCACCGGTCAACCTAATAAGAAGTAGTAGCGTCCCAAAAAAATTGTGTTCACTGGTCGATCAGAGCGCAAATCAATTTCGCGGTATTAACGGTTTGTTATATCCCCCAAAGATATACAATAGATATAACTATTAAAAGGTAACTAATATTAAGAAATGGGTACTCGTATTACATCCGCAATTACGACAGACACTGACCGCGTTAAAAAACGCATACAATGCAAGGTATACGCGAAATCAGAATTACGACAGATAATGACCGCGTTAAAAACGCATACAATGCGAGATATACGCGGAATAGAAATTGGTCAACGTGCAAGCAAAGCAGAAGGACTTTGAATCTGCTTCGCTTGCACCTAGATTCTCGACCGGGGAAACCTGTTGCCAGGCACTCCTTCCGATCGGGAAAACTCCAAAAAACAACGATATAAAAAGAGAGTAGAGACGCGACAACTCGCTCAGTCGCAGACACAAATAATCGCTCTAACCACGATCTCGCTAACCGCGCGCGCACTTAGCATCGACTCGCAGTTGTGCGCGATACGCGGAGTAATAGAAAGTCAGTGCCGCACACTCGTTAAAGCTTCAGTGTATTATTGGTGATAAATAATAACCAAGTGGTTGAAGTTGAATAAAGAATTTTAATACGAAAAGTGTAGTGCATTTTCTACAAACACCCGACAAGTCCTGACGCCCCGGATTCCCATCCCAATTTGGCGCGACCCCCTGGTGTCTCTCCCGAGGCACACAACAAATTGGTGGCAGCGGTGGGATTGCGCCGAAGGACCGTCAGGAACTACTCGGAGGAAGACCTGAAAAATACAGCAGTATTAATAATCAGGCACGTCGAACATAATAATCGACGGGAAGCGAACAAAACAGAAGCCGACGTATAAGCAGCAGCGTGCCGTACGTACAAGAAGACACACACACACACGGACAACGCATCAGCCGTCGGGAAGTAGGCCATCACCTAAGGACGCGACCTACGACAACACGGACAACGCATCGCACCGTACAACGACCCGCCGGATCACCTTACAACACCGGACCGCCAGCCGTATCAACACTGCCGAGCAATGATCTGCAGCGTCAGCGAGCGAGCGATAGTAATGGTAGCCGTATTAATGTAAGTCCGAATCAAACTTTTTATATATAAACTGCATGAATGTCGGAGGAAAGCGAAACACCCCGACAAGCGATAGCAAATAAATCGTGGTTACATAGCGACTCAGCCGAACGATCAATCAAAGCACTACCGATAACCTTAGAAAACCTCGAAAAAGTGCGAATAAAATTAGAAGCATATTATTCAGGAGAGAGCGACTCCGAATCATATACTCACGGGAAAGCCGAACGCGAATTTCCGTTTAACATTTTTGACGAAAGTTTATTTGAAAAAGGGGAAACCGACACCGTTAAAAATTAAGAAAAAAAAGTAACGAACGCGTAAGACGAACTCCTAGCAACGGGTCACAACGCGGGGAATCCTTGCTTACATCATACGATAGTAGTATTTTCGATCCGAGCGAGTATCAGGACATGCTGCGAACACCGCCTAACGGTGGCATGGATGTGTCCGAGAGTGCCATCGACCGCGAGATTGACCGTCTACACGGTACAATAGCTCGCGACAATACTCGACTGGTGGAAGCCGACGTACATGCACCACCCCCAATAGCGAAATAGGAACAACTAACCCCCGCGATACCAGACGATACATAGATAGACGCGTTGACGAAATCGAGGTGCGCGAAACTCCTAATTATAGGGAGGCCGGAATAGATAACCCTATGCTACGTGAGATAATGAGAGGCATGCAAGAACTACGTAGGGAAATGCTCACGGAAATAAACATATCCTAAAAAAATCATATAAATGAAAAGGTCAGGCCATGTTCAATAGAAGGTACTCAAAAATTTAAACCTTTAAAAATTTAAACGATCTAATAATAAATTATCACGAAAAGTAACTGATATGTTATTCAAGGTGCCAGTTCAAAGTGAACATACGTAAAGTGTATATTATCTAAATTTAGTAATAATATATTACCATGAAAAGTAACTGTGATATTTTATTCAAGGTGCAAGTTCACATTGAATATACATACATATAAGTAAAACTGATTACAATTTGATTCTAGAAAATAAGTGCGATATGTTATTCTTAGTGCACAAAATATAATAGTCGTTTATAGAGATTTGATTTGAAATTCATACTAGCCCGTACAATGAAAAATAATTGCTCGTAATTCCAGAGTACCAATTTGTTAATGACTCAGAAAAATAACATGGCGGCCTGCTCTCAAAAAACTATGATGTTTCTCGATGTCCATTTAGAAATAATGTCGAAGCTCTTACAGAATAATTACTACAACATTTGAAGTACGAAAAGTATTACATTAGAAGAAGATTAGATTAGAATAAGAATTCAACGTATTTTTAAAAGCTCTACACACACAACGAAGTGAATATACAAAACTATATACAAATACCTTTTTCTTCTGTGTTTCTGAAGAAAATTGTAAGTCAAATGAAACCTTGCACTTTGAGAACCATGTCACTTACTTTTCAGAGTCAAATTGATAAATTTGTTTTGTATATTTTAATGATATTTATTTCTCACTTGTATCTTGAATAATTAATATGTAATTTTTTATTGTATATTACGACAAATAATCAGTAAACTTTTTAAGCGTATAGCTTTATTGTAGTTGACCTGAGAACTGTACATTTATAAATTTTACTTAATATACACCCGTTTCGAGCAACAAAGCAAAGTTTCTGATCAATAACTTACTCCCTGAAAATACGGTATAACACAAATCGGAAGTTGATACGAAAATTCGAAATTTTACTAAAGAAAGATTGAAGGTTTTTAATTTATACAA